AGTTCGTTTAATATTCGTTTCCAAGAAACCAACAAACATGAAAGGTAAGTTACAACGGAATTGTGAAAAGCAGTGGTTAGAGTATATACAAATTCAAATTTATTGTGGGTGACAGAAGTTGAAATGGAGCGAGAGAACGCTGAGTGTAAAGGATGTGATGTGTCGGACAAGATAGAGTCACACAGCCAACCAGCGCCTCCTAAGATACAGCTTCATATCTTGAGATGCTTTTTAGAGAGCGTCTAATTAATATGAAATACTTGGATTATAGACCAGGAAAGGCAACACGAAAGCAGTAGGTAAAATGGCATAAAACGCACGAGAAAATAAATTTAAAAATGATGTACAATGGCACCGTCAGATGTTGAAGGCGTGAAGTATAAAAAATCAACTTTCTAACTTTAGGAAATGTTTTTTCTACATTTCAGGACCATTTGAGGTCAGCAGACAGAAATCATCCAAGATATTCGAAGTGTTGTGGCCTTACATCTTTTACGTTTTTGATTTAGATGTTAGGAACAGATGATCGAGAAATTGTTGATGGCCTACGGTCAGTGAAAAACAAAACTTCAATGCATGTGTTTGGGTTTAACGAAAGGTTAACACCATCGGATCACTGAGAAATGTAATTTATGGCTGATTAAGGGGTTCTTTTTGTTAGTTGCACACCATCAGTAACTAAATCATCAGTATATTTAAATGTGTAAACAGCTGGGGTGACTAGCAAGTTTTGGATGTAAAAGGAGAACAGAAAAGGGGATAAAACTGCACCCTGCATTACACCTTGATTTACAGTAAAAGTGGCAGACCTGATAACATCGAGACAAGTGAATTGGCGTCGGTCAGTGAAATAGTCTCGACCCGAATCAAAAGGTTTGGCGGGAGATTGTGTTGCTGTAGCCTTGCCAATAGGATGTTTCTGTCAACAGAGTTAAACGTGTTTGTGCAGTCCAAAAAATAAACGTGAACAATTTTATGTTTTTGGTCTATAGTGGATAAAACAGAGTGTATAAGGCAAGCAACCGCATCCAAAGTAGAGTGACGTTTACAACAAACAAACTGATTGGAACCACAAAATCAAGATTCGAGGATAGATGCTTAATAATAATTCGCTCAAAAGTCTTAAGTAACACAGACGATGAAGCAATAGGCCGAAACTTACCCTTTTCTTTCTTAGGTACTGGAGTGATACAAACATCACTCCATTTTTTAACAGACCTGTATAAAACATGAGTGAAACGGTTTGTGCGAGGTGGTTTGCAAATGTTTTAGGATCACTGGCGATAACACACCAGGATCAGAGGATTTATTTCTGTTGACAGCATTCAGCTCCTTCAAAACTTGCTCTGTTGACAGTCACAGGAGAATGAAAATCAAGTGACTTTGTATTTGGACTCGGTGGTTCTTGCAGAAGGAAGGAAAATATTTGTTGAGGTCATTGATGTTAGATGAGACTGTAGTTGAATTACCGTGGAGCAAATTTAGTCCCTTCCGTAGCTAACGGCAGAATTTGTACCCTAGTAAGGTGTCAACATACAATTGATTCGGATATAAAATTTAAAAGATTTGACAGTCGGCTTATCTCTTGAGCGATATGCCCTTCCTTTCAGCCGACGTAACCATTTTATTCTTTTAGAGATGAAGTGTCAAGGCTGTGGGTGGATTCTTGCTTGAGGGCAGCACACATTATAACAGCAGTTGAGATGATTGTAAGGTTCTCACATAAGACTGAAATACCGGGATCGTATTGTAGTTGCAAGTCTGGTCCGGCGACCATGGGTTCTAATTCCATCAAATTGACCGGATGATTTTGTTGTATACGTATCTTACGTACACTTTTCTTCGTAAGGATTTGTTGTTTGCATTTACCATATATGGTAGATAAAACTTTAATTAGACAGTGATCAGAATTGCCTACTGGTGCACACTTGTAGGTAGTAGAAAAAGATGGCTCGTCAACGAAAAAGTGGACTAAGGAGACATCACTTCTGGAGTAAAAAACTAACTATGTTCTTAAAAGAGATAAGTGTATAAAAACGCAAATCCCATGTGTTGAAATCACCAGCAATGATTAAAAAATGTGTTAGATCTCTCCAACAAAATTGGATGGAATATATCCAGGTTGGTAGAAAACTCTCAAGAGGTACAGTCAGAAGTGATGTACTGATTTTAAATGATGATCGAAGACTGACGCAGGAGAAAACATGGTGATACGAGAAATGTTTTGTGTACGGTGAGTAAATATGCTTTTACTGGTGTCACACCACGACCGGAGCACATATGTGATGACGCCACCACCGTCAGCTTTTCTTCCTCGTGGTCTATCTGAACGAACTAATTGGAAGCCTTCGATCTGAACCAATTCATCCTCAACCGATTCTTGTAGCTGTGATTCTTGGAAAAGTAGTACACAACTTTTGGAGTACTCTCCGTGACCAATCAGAAGACCGATGTCCCATAACTTAAAAAGAATTAAGCAGCCATTCGAAGACAACAGGTTTCTGTGCTCAAGTGCAACTTTCCAACCAGCGCTATGTTTTCTCCGTTTACCAATTGAGTTTCTTTTAACCTTATTTCACACAAAAAGAGAAAAAGCACGTAAGGACGAGTCGTTGATGTCTTCCGAGAATACTCGTATGGTAGTTAAACATAGCGTGTTGCAGGTGAGCATTGAGGTCACCATAATTGATACGAAAGTACACCCAGAGGTAATGCGTGATAAAAGGAACCAAAACTCCAGCGATAAGAGAAAAGGACAAAGCGAATTTCAAAGGCCTCACGTACGTTTTATTGTTCAATTCTATCCATTGTGTTATGTAATTGGATGATTTTTTGCCATTTGCGCAAGTCTGTTTGACCAGCATTCTATTAGATTTATGAGATCTTAAGTTTACTCTGTTCGATCAGTAGGGTAATGGTACCCTTAATGTGCACAGTAGCTAAAGACTCAGGGCAGTTAGCGACGGATCGATTTTCTCTCCTAAAAGCTAGGTAACTTCCAAGTTCCACAAGGTTACTACTGGCCCATCCTGTCGAACTTTTCTGTTAGTTGGACGGTTGCAAGAAATTAGTAAATGAACTCGGTATCGTATAGGATGGCCGAACATAACACTAAGTTAAATTTTTCATCGGGTTATTGATAATAATCTCAAAATGCATCAAATACGGAAAAGTTTGGTGACATGGGGAATTCTGGCAAGCTGTGTTGACGCATTTGCGTCCCGGTTAATGTAAGCATCGATTGAGTGTGATGTAACATGTGAATTCGGCAATATTTATGTCGAACTCCCCACAAAATAACAGTTCCTTATTTATAATACCCTGTTGGTCTTCCGTGATGAGTGTAAACATACAGGGAACCTAACACTTCAAACCCATTGGTGACCACAGTACTCGAATAGCGTTTTTACATGGAACGAGATATCGGGTTAGTTGTAGTCTACGCTATTCCATCGAGTATTTTTATGGTTACCTTTGTTGAGACCCCTTGCAACGGCACCGCTGCCTCTGCCAATCCCCTTGTCACATCAGCACTTCATATAACCTAAAACATCGATTTAAGTCGATTCAGTTAGTGAATAATGAAACGTGATCGGCAAGGGACAAATTTGTTCGTTTTAATAAAACTGAGCGACAATCACAGATAAACGATATGTCGAGAGAGATTTAAATAGGTCACCCTATTGCAGCCACAGTTCGAAAAATATCACTCAAACATGAATCTTATAAGCCAAAGTTGAACGACGAGTTCATAAATCATGTGAGTTTGTGGACGAAAACACAACATCCATGTTGAGGCAGTTCAAGGAAAGATTGAGGAATGACTTATCGGACACACTGATCAGTAATACTTCGATTGATTTATTGCTGCTATTTATTTAAGAAGCCGATCATTCAGCTTCTGGGAAGAAGCTCGGAAACAATGAGATTAAACCGAACGGAATATGGCGATTGGTTATGGTAATCTGGTTATGCACTGACGCATTGATTACTTGACTTTTTCTATTGGTGAGATCAATTACAAAACATGATACTCTCTCACCTATGGGCACTCCTAGGTGGGCTGGAAAGCCGTTCGAAGCCTCTAGGTCAGCGAAGAACGCAAATTGAACACACCGACATGTGTCTCTGTTGTCGGCATCTTGAAGTATGAATGTCAGACACAGATTAATAGACATGTTTTTCATGAGTTCCCATCAAGCTGAACCACGTTAATCGCCACTGAGCAACCGGGTGTTTAAGATGTTTTTATCTTTGACAATGCGCCCGTTCATCGGAGTGTTTTGGATGTGCAGTTAAACATCAACCACTACATTCTATTTATTTCAGTAAACATTCCTATTTTGAACCACTGTAAGAGACATTCATTAAATTGAAATGCTTTTGAAGCGCTTTTATCACTTTATTCTATTTATTACTCAGCATTTAAAAATGGTTCAAAGAAAACACTGAAACAATACGAGGTGTGCAAAATGGTTTGACGACAGGGGCGCATCTCCTGAACTATGCAGGCTACGATCGCCATATCCTCTCATTTCCTAAGCAAGCTGAGCAACATTACCATTTATAGAAGATAAAACGTTTCAACATTCGTTGACTTTTTTAAATGTTTTTCATCTGACTGGTTTATGGCGGCATGATCAACGTTTGTGCATCTGGGCTAAATGATTCCGGGTCACCGTTAAAAGATTGTGGGTTTTGGCCAGAACAGTATGGGTCAAGGGTGCAGAGCTGTGGGTCGAGGCTAAAGTACTCTGGGTTTTGGCGTTGGGTTGATGACACTAGAGTGCTCATTTTAAATCCGGCAGTTCACACTCACCGTGGATGTGCTTTCTCGTGACTTTGCATGAACAAGACTATTGGAATTGCGGAGCACTCACAAAATCTTTTCAACTTAACTAATACGTTTCAAAGACAAACAGAATGGCATCGGCTTTCATGCTTATTGCCACTCAATATCACTACTATGGTTCGATTTTCAGTCCCGTCAAAGAGGAACCATGGCGTCAAACTATCGAGATGACCCCGGATATCAGGCAACAACGGCTACATTGCCAAGAGTCGATTGGTATCATGCCAAATTCATGTTCCGAATATTCGCGGCGGAGGCTCTGGGAGTGGGAATCATTATTTTCATTCTCGCAGTACATTCCGCCGGTGATGAACTGAAAAGCGACCTCAACGGACCAATCGTTACGGGTGCTGCTTTTGCTGTAGCCGTCTGGACTGTGGGTCCGGTTAGTGGACCACAAATCACGCCAATTATCTCGGTCGCTCGATTACTAACACGACGAATCAACTTTGTCTATTTCATTCTGGGGATTATGGGTCAGACGTTCGGCGCTTTTATGGCTCTGTTGCTTGGATCACGGCTTGTTCCCGGTCTATCGGAAAAGAACAATTTGGTGCTACAAACACCGGGACCAAATGTCACTGATTTGCAGGCGTTCGGCATAGAATGTGTATGCAGCTTCATTCTTATAGTTATCTTTCTCAGTACGCTTGACGAATTTCGGAAGCCATATTGCTCTCAGGGACAGGTGTCTTCGTTTTCTATCATCGTTTTCTTCATGCTTCTGGTTTTGTCCGCTGTAATGGTACGTTGGAGTTCCTGCTTACTCAAGTTCCGAACCGGAATTTAATTTGTCCACTACTATTTCTCTCACCCAAAGTTCCTTCTCATTTCGTTTTCCTTCCCGTGGTAATTTGAAACTGTGATTATATGAAGTTAAATGGGATATAAAAGAGAAATTCATTTCTCGAAGAACCTTATGCACTAAAACAGGACGTATTCTTTTGTGTTCGCATCACTGACCATTTGGTCAGTGTTCATTTGAACACGTCAATCCGAGTGAATATTCCGTAGAAAGCTGATTAAAATTATGCGAATAATTAGATCTATTGCTGGAAAAGAGACGTGATCAGGTTGTTCAAATCCATTTCTACCTGATGCAGCAAAAATAGATAAAAAATATGACTATCCAGTTTTGTTCGTCTATGGACTAGCTGCACTTCAATTAGGGTTTGACTGTGATGTTGGAAATATTTCATAATTCTTCAATTTCACAAGAACTTCGTAATCGAGGCATATGTTTTCACAACCAAGACCTATGATTTATTGTCAGTGGAGCAGCATCGGGAGAGGAGGATTTCAGAGTTCCCTGTCCTGAAAAACGGACTGTTTGTGTGGTGCTTAGGCTTGTACGTTTGGGCCAAGATTGAACCTGTGCTGTTTTTTAAGCTCTCGAACAACTGCATGTATTTTGCACATGATTCTTGAATAGGCGCACATATTGCTAACCCGCTTGTGTTTGTAGAAAAACATATATGGTTCTATTAAAATCGAGAAGTATGGAGGCTTTGTCGTTACATCCCTGGACGCCTCATGGTTGGACTTGTCTGAATTGCTCCATAGGAGATCTTTCGAAAGTGTCTGATAGTGGGAAGCCACCCGAAAATTCAAGTCTTTTTGAAATATATTTATGCTGCTTCCTTCGTTTGCCGATCTTGAGGTAACCCATTTATCGGCACTTTTATTCGGTTGGTGGTCATCCTGTTGACGACGACACGTCTTCTGTTGTTTCCTTCACGATCAAGTGTTTGAATCACTCACCTACTTACTTACTCACTCACTCACTCAGTCTGTCTGTCAGATCAAGGGCATATCTAAATAAGGGTTTTTCTAATGGTGTGCCGTAAGACATTTTGTGATTAACGCGAAAGTATTTGTTGTTCCCGCCATCACATGCATAATGACATTTGAATGAATTTGCCTGGTTTGACCTCAATTAATGTAACTAATTCGGTCTAATCATAAGTGATTCTGATTGGGTTTCATTTTATCTCATTTAAATGAGCATATATTTCATGATAGGAACAGATTTCCGGAAGCAGAAACAACGATTCAAAGGGGTATTATACGTGGCAAGTGAAGAGCTGTATGGCGCTTGTGATGAAATTCGGGCGCATGCCCCCCCCCCCGAGTTACGATTTGGTGACCTGAAACATTTGAGGATCACAGCCTAGTAATGTTTTCACAGGTATTAGGCACATTATTATCTCGGGCGTTGTTTGCCTCATGCTTTACTGGTATATGTCTATTTCGCGTATAGACATTCCAAGGCTGTTCACAACCGATCATCACTTTGATGCATTGGGCTTTTGTTTCCTGCATTTTCTCACACACGGACACACACTGGCGCACTTATTAAGCCACTCAGGTCCCCATGGGTGTCTTCTCTAACCCGGAATCTTTACGAGAGAGATCAACATCTGTCAATCTACTGTGGTTTTTCCAAATAGCCACGAATTGATTATTTTCTCTTTGCTGCTACGAGTTTCTGAATGTTGGTTACATGTTCTGCGAATAAACCTTCGAATGGCTCGAAGATGGTTCCACTGTTCTATTACTCCATAGGATGCAGTTGGTTTACCGTCCTTGTTTCAGACCATGTTACCCATAGTTCCAGTAACCCTAAACATCTCATTTAACTAATGTACTTTTATTCTCATTTGATTTCAGATCAAAACAACCGGCACAGGACTGCATCCGTCAAAAAGTCTAGCGGCCGCGTTATATAATCGTTCATTTGAAAAACTGTGGGTGAGCAGTTTGATCTAATTATATGCGTAACATTTGGTCAAACAATAGAATAAAACAATCACA